AGAGAGTGTGCTGTTGGTGATTTTTTACACTGCGGCCGCGTTAATATCAAAGTTTATTGTAGCACGACACGGCTATACATACGGTAAAAAAGATAACTCTGAGGGAAATGCACAAATAAACACAACAGAAATGGTGAATCATAATGTTTAACACAACAAACAAAATACATGCCGAAAGGAACTGCATTAGATATCAGTATGGAAACACACGTTACACAACCAATGTTTTTTTTCATATATTTCTTTGATTCTAGCAAGTAATTTATTGAAAGTAACAGACAAACGCGAGCTTTATCGATTTTATCTTCTTTGATAATACCTGGCGAAGATGGAACTTACTAAATACAACCAGCACTAGTTTATTTTACATTTTTACAACAATCAAAAAGTTCTTGTATTGAAGAATACATTGTTTTCGGTGCAGTTCTGGGCTAAATGTGACAGGAAGTTAAAAAAATAAATGGAAATTTGATATGCTATTACAAATGAAAGAAGAGAGCGTGAAGCGTCGTTCCGCTGAACGTTAACCGTGTCATCCAATCAAACTTACCAATCAGGTTGAATAACGTGCTTTAAAAACATTAATGTGTAACCGTGTCATCCAATCAAACTTACCAATCAGGTTTAAACATTAATGTTGGAATATTGTTTGTTTAAACATTAATGTGCGGAATGATGTCCGTTTAAACATTAATGTGTGGAATATTGTTTGTTTAAACATTAATGTGTGGAATAATGTCCGTTTAAACATTAATGTGTGGAATAATGTCCGTTTAAACATTAATGTGTGGAATAATGTCCGTTTAAACATTAATGTGTGGAATAATGTCCGTTTAAACATTAATGTGTGGAATATTGTTTGTTTAAATATTAAGATGTGGTTTAATATGTGTGTGTGTGTTTAAATAAACATTGTTTGTTTAAATGTGTGGAATGTGATTTTTCGGTAATTTCGTTTCTATTTTTCTGTCCTTTCTTTCTGTGTTTTATTTTCCACTCTTTTCTTACACCGTTGTCATATGACCCGTGCTTGTGACTCGTCACTGTCTGTAAGAATTCAAAGTTTGAAAATCACGTAAGAGGATTTTCAAATGGCCGACACAAATAATGCAAATTAGAAACTGTAAAATATTAGCTAATGTAGGAAAAGGCTTACCTCTGTATATGGTTTAACAATGACTAAATTTAGGGTTCGATGTACCTTTATATTAAAAAAAAATAAGGCAATTAGGTAACTAATTATCTGTATACAATGTGCAAGTCTTTGTCTCAATTAGAAAACTCGGCTGCTTATCAATACTGGTCAGTACGTAAAATATTATCCTTGGTTTCATTAACATTGACATCATGTTACTCTACACAAGTATTTTCTCTGTCAAACACTATATCTGTAGAAATAAACCTATTCAGTAGACAGTCAGTGAAAATCTCACAATAAAACTTTCCGCTTTATCACCGTTCAGGCTTAAATCGAACATGATCGGTGAGTATACAATAATTTACCGCATGTTCAGATAATGCAAAGAAATGGGCTTTTTAAGTAGGTCACCAATACACACGTTCTCAACGATTAGGAGGTAGATCTAGTGAACTGAATAAGCTGTACAACATAAATATTCAAATAGCAATTTCGGCATGGACTTTTTTTAAACAAATGTGTGTGCTTCACCATATGAAATGTGAGCAATCGAATTTCAAACAGGAATGAAATCATCTGATGTATATTTGATACGTAGCACTGGATGCATAAATTACACATGTACTAGACATGTAGAACGTGACAAGACAGACCTAACCTTAGTTCACGAAAAAATGGGGGAAATATCGTATATATTTTATCAACCCCACTGCGCAGCGACGTGAAGAAGTATCTAGATATATTGTTCGTCAGTTGGAGAAGTCATGGTTACGAAGCCTTCGAGAACCATTAAACATGAACTATGATATCGTCCATAAATTATTTTAAAACATAGTTCATCGTTCACTAATAGATTGTATATGATATAAAGAGTTTTGGTGATCTTAATGAACTTATAATAGTGACATCTTTCAATCACTTTAAAGTTTATAACCTTGTCGTGTACAGATTTACATCATAAACTTTCCAAACGGCTAAATGTTATCGATTATGACTTCATACCTTTCAACGGACAAATCATGGCATGTTTTCGCAAATATGATTATGGGTCTGTCATACACACAGATAACAAAGTCAGATTCAATTTTGATAAAAAGGTATTTTTGAGTTTTGAAAGATGCATTCCACTTCTGTAGTAAACAGCATATCATACCTCCGTAACTCATGGTTTGATAATACTACTAGAAGACATTTGAATAATAAATGACTCCTATTCCTATTCTGTCTGGACAAGAAAACCAAACTATAGTATTGCATATTCGGCATTATTTCCACGAAATAAACAGATTCTAACAGACACATTCTCGAATTTCTCTATCCCGCTCTTCTTCACTTCTCAGAATCCATGTATATATTCTATACTATTAGTAATTGTGATCGATATCACCGATATTTATACGAAAGAAATGCGATATTAATGTGTCTAAAATTGATATAATTAACAGATATGTGTTGGTATATGTGTACCATGTACCTGCGCCTTCAAGTTGAGAAGAATATTCCACAGAAAGCAACGAATGACAAGGGGGCAGGATTCACATCGCGGGAAGTGATGAACATTGACAAGTAGAGAGTTTAGGCACGTGGACAGAGTATCACATGTTGCGCTTGCATGGAGAAGGAGCAGATACATGGTCTACATATATACAAAGTATATAGCTCGTGTTTTACACCTTTCTCTCTCTCTCTCTCTCTCTCTCTCTCTCTCTTATATGTTTATAATTCTACATCCTACTACCACCTTGTAAATATAATGTGTGTGTATTAACATGATTGGAAAGGCTTTACATAAGTTGTAATTATTGCGTCCAATCTTACTGATAATTATATGCAATAAAAATATGCTTAAATCAATAAATGCTGTCATCTGATTAATCAGAACGTAACGACTCACTTATGAGCACCCTCGACACTCCAGGGGTTACGATCACTTTTTTTTTCTCTCTGCACCCCTGGAACATGTCATGGCAAAATTGAAGGTTCCTTGTGCGACACTTTGCGGACAGGACGAAAAGACTGGCTTTATCCTTTTAATGTACATCAAACCAATTTCGGTGTCGCACAACGGTAAGTTGTAATGACTTTGAAGTTTGGTGTCGCTTCTTTTTTATTTTACAAAAGAAACGCATATGATTGGTCAGATTTTTCTCTTGGAAATAATCAAATTACTTCGCTGGTGTCTTCGATTTTGCCGTGACATGTTCCAGGGGTGCCGAGAGCGAGAGTGATCGTAACCACTGGAGTGTCGAAGATGACTTACGGGAATCTTGTTTTGTATTTTGACAACTCTTCCAGTAGATCATACTGATTTCAATTGGATATGGCCGAAAATATCTCGGATTTGTTTTATTGATGCTTTACGTCCTATCAACAGTCGGGTGTAATTTAAGAGGTGCCAGGTTTGGGTTGTGGCGAAAAGACTGAGATTCCGAAGAAAACCCACCAGCATTTGTCTACCAGTACGTGACGACTGCTTCGAACCTGCGATCCATATCTCAAGGTGGAGGGTTTGTGATTAAGACGGTTAGACGCCTTAACCGATTTGGCTTACGTCTGCTTATACAAAATGAACCCTCATGCTCCCGTGAAAGTTTTATTTCATAATTGGTTAAAAAAATATCCCTATCGTCTCATCAGAAGTACTTTAAAGATAACCCTCTTCTGTGCCTCAACCCTATGCCCTGATGTGGTCAGACCAACATCTTTATACAAAAATGCGTTTCTTTCGCCTGCGAATGCTTCAGACTTTTTGTACAAAACTCCAACAAATGGTTAAAATAAAAAAAATGAAGAGAATTGTTGGAATTTATTTCTTTGGGCCCTATCCCTCAGGCAATAAGCGCCAAGAAAAGAACTCGCGTTTTTTTTCGCAAAATGGAATCACCTTCCCGCAAGAATGCTTATGGCCAAATTTGGTCAAAAGGATTTCAAATGTTTCTACTAATTCTGCTCTTGTGACCTAGGTGTGACCCCTTCACCCTCGGGTACTTAAGATAACTTTGTACAAAATCGTATCGACATCAATACGAAGTTGACAGATGACGGATATTGGGTAAATGTAACTGTTCATTAGATGAAATTGAACCTTGCCTTTTTTCGTGAATCGTCAATATCTCTTGGTGAAACTGATTTGTTTTACTTGACTTCTGCTATTTAAGCGAGATAAAACGAGGATATGGCGGGAACCAAGGGATTTCCACAAAACAGTAAGTAAATATACATATATATATATATACACACATTTCGGGACAAAGTGTTAAACATATTCTGCTCCGTAGATGATATGTTCAGTGGCGTAGCAAAACATTTTTAAGAGAGTATGCTTTCAAGAGAGGATCCAAGGGCGCAGCCCCGGTTTAGGGGGTCTAGGGGCGCAATAAGGTTAAAAAAGTAGGGCAAATATATCTCAATGGAATTCGAGTGTATGTTTAAGCATACAAGCATACATTATTGTTCCGCCTCTGATGTTCTAATATCACATGTCGAATAAAATAGTGTATAGTTCTCCAAAGGCAAACGGAATTGTGTTGGCCATCAAACACGCATATTTGTAGAAATATGATTAAAAAAACATGACGACAAACAAAACGTCCGTTCAATTTATTTATTCTTTAAACTGCCGTTCTTAACATTCCGTGTTATGTGTTTTCCTTCATTTATCAAAATTTATTCCGTTATATGGAATTCGAGCATTTGAACATCGAATCGACAATGACATATAAGTACTTACCACGAAGGTCGGGAAAGCTGGAAATTACTATCGGGAACTTAAATTACGGATATTACAACCCATACGGTTTTAAGATTAGACATGATAAAACAACATCCTGTAGGCTTAACCGGGTTTATCTGTTTATTCCGGATGTCCTATACACAACAATAACAACAGCAAAAACAATCAGACTGGAGAAAACAAAATTCTCACTGAGATGATCCAGGTCAGTAATTTATTATGGTTCTTGGAGGGTACTTTGCACGGGATCTGCAAACGCAGTGCTACGTAACAATAAACACTAGGCTAGCTTTGTTAGTTCAACAGTTACGTAATCACTTCAATTAAGAGTCAGACTTTACGCTCCGAGTAACGAGGTCATCGTCGTTTTTATGTATAAAAGATCACCATAGACCAGTCCAAGCCAAAATTTAATTAATTCATCTAAAATCAAGATAAATTGACTCATTAAAACATATTGCAAGGCTGCTGAAGGTAGGTTTATGCACGTCCATTGAACTCTAGATCACGAGTTTAAGGTCCAGTTTTAATAGGGAAGTGTAAATATCTAGGACATGATATCTCCCTATTTTATAGTGAGTGACTTAATTAGTAAGTGCGAAGTTTCATTTACGTTTGAGGAAGTAAAGTTAAAGGTCTGAAGGCATTCTGACTTTCAACATTTGAAATACTAGTTTTAGAATTGTTTGACATATAAACTGCTATTACATATATCAACAATGAAGGTAGTGCTATGTTGGCTCTCAGCAAACAAAGCCTATTAAAGTCACAATTTCTCCCCATTTCGGTAAATTCAATTCTATTTTGTTATACCCCTACCCAATATCAGTCATGATGTATAACTCGTTTAGGTGAAAAATGAAAATGTTGGTAGATATTAACAGCCTTCAAGACAAGCTGATTGCCTTCCCAATTCATAAATTACCTTCCCTTATAAGATGTAAATGTCTCTAGGTCCAAAAAAAGATATAATTTTCCCTGTAACATGTTTCAAAAAAATTGGAATAAGCAGCTATAAAGGTAGGTAGGCAAAAATTGATTTTAACAAATAATTTTATAAGGTGTATATTGGAGAGGAATCTTGACTTTCAACAGTACTTCATTGAAAATTGTTATAAAAAGGTTAAAGGTCAGGGCTCTTGATCTGCCAGATTTGGGGCCGGATTCCCAATGCAAAATAGTATCTTTTTTTTTCCTAATTTAGACCCCATGTTTTCCCAATTCTAAGGAAAACACAGCTATTTTTCTCAATTCCAAGGGCCCCAGGCCCCAGTCCCAAAATGGTGTGTGAGAGCCCTGAAGGTAGACAGGAGATATTAGGCTAGGTAGGTATATGCATGGTTATCACAAACAGGAAATATTTTTTGTTTGACTTCATTTAAATCCTTCCATACTATAACAAAAAACAAATGGTGGCACCTGACAACATATACAGTTGAACTTCAATATTTCAAAGTAAGGGAGACTGTTGGAAAACTTTGAGTTATCGAAGTATTTGATTTAAGCGAGATTGAATATTTGTTAAAAAGTTTAGCTGGGACAGAAATACTGTGAATTAAAAGGGGTCTTTGAGTTCAAGAAAATCGAGGTAACAAGGTCAACTGTATCATCACAGTGGTTAAATCACCTAACCATCTTTATCACAAACCCTCTACCTCTGGGGTATGGGATTGAGGCTTACGTTGGGACAGTCTGGTGCTGGCTGCAGGTTTGTGGGTTTCCTCTAAGAACTCTGGCTTGCCTTCACCACCTAAACCACACACATCCTTAAATGGCCCAGTTGTCAATTAATAGAATTTAAAGCAACTGTAAAGTATCATCACATTGACTTAGTAATTCACCTTCATTAAGTAGTAATGCTGCTTCACCCTATTCTCTCCCTTTGTGATAAATAGTTTTATCTCATTTCTATAAAATGTTTGAGCATGTCATTTTTCTACTGTAAACATATTTGTATCAATTTCTTCATCCTGTCAGGTTATGACTGGGCGAGGCACCACTCGGTCACAAGAATATGCTGTCTGGGCAAGGGGATTGTGTAAGCGCTATGGAAAAAAGGAGGACCCGGTTCTCCAAAACCTAGCTGTTACTGTACGGAGGGGAACTATGTAAGTGTTGATATCTAATAGTAGTTACGACTTCAGTGTATATGAAGGTATCATCGAAAGTAAAGTATGTGAATGAAAATAAGGAAAAATCAAGTCTTCTCGTAGATGGTGTTTGTTGAGAATTTGGATAGGAAGGTCAAGGTCCCCATGCAGGTGTTTTATGTTGAGAATGAGGAAAGGCTAACTTTTTCTTGTAAGCTGTGTTTGTTGAGAATATTTAAAGGTAAGTTTGTCTCGATGGCATATATTGAAACCGAGAAAGGTCAAGGTCTTCATGTAAGTGATGCATGTTGAGAATAAGGAAAAGGTTAGGTCTCTAGGAAGTTGCATATACTCTGTGATTTTTGGGATTCATATATTGGAATCCTAGACTTTTTTTAAAACTATCGCATTATAAACAAGAAACTCATGATCTTGGTATTTGTCTATTAGCTTCCATAGGTGAAGACTGTTAATGAATGAATGGCTTTAGCTGTCAAATGAATGACCTTGACCTACTTTTGGTTACAGCTGCCAAATGTGTTCAGATCTTAGAACAAAGTGTTCTGAATAAAGTTTAAGCATGGCAGGATCAGAGGCTATCAAGTTAGTTTAAATGAATAACCTTTTCCCACTTTCATAGTATTACTGTTAAAATGTTTTGAAATGTGTATGGTCACTTTTATCAAAGTTTAAATTGAAATTTTACAGACAGGAGACCTAGCTGTATACAGGATTGAAGGATTGTTGTTTCTAAATGAGTCACCTTATTCATTGTATTTACAGATATGGTTTGCTGGGACCGAGTGGATGTGGGAAGACAACCTTGCTGCGATGTATTGTTGGCAGACTCTCTGTAGATAGTGGTAACCTTGTGGTTCTAGGGGAAAACCAGGGGATAAGAGGACATGGGATACTTGGGCGTCTGGTGGGATACATGCCACAAGTAAGTATGACATGTCTAGACCACTCTGATGTATCTTTCATACCTACAACTTGGTAAGATGAATTACAGTTAAGGTGGGGTTTTTTTGTTTTTTGTTTTTTTTTTGTTTTTTGTTTTTTGTTTTTTTGGTGGAGGGGGGGATTTTCACTATTTTGCGGTACATTAACATGATTGGGAAAATTTAATTCATCAAATAATGAAACAAGTGTGTATGTAATGTACTGTTAAATCCAGATAACAAGATGTTTGATTTGAAGGAATATAATTTTATGGCTTTAAAAGAAAGTTGAGAAAAATTTGACACAGGAAAATAATCAACTTTATGGTATTCCTAGTTTGGCAGTCAGGTGTTCATATCCTGGAATGACACTCATATGTCTCTCTAACTATTACACTTTATGCTGGAAGTTTGATTGACTATTGGGTTAATATATATGATTACAGACATGACATATTTCTATGCTGAGTTTTGTTTTGACAGGAAATGGCCTTGTTCAACAAGATGACCATCAGAGAGACGCTTTTCTACTTTGGTCGTATCCATGGAATGACAAAAGATCAGATAAATGACAGGATTATATTTCTCCTTCAGTTTCTCACTCTTCCTGATCAGGGCAGGATAGTGGATTCACTAAGGTAGTTACATACTATATCAAATAAGCCCCCTCCTCTACACCCTCCCCCACCCCCACCAACCCTGTCTTATAGAAAAAAAGTTACCAGATAGTATTAAAGATTTCAGAGGGATAGTTTGTGATCTAGTTTTAGGTTACTATTTTAGTAATCAGCTAAAATGGAAAAGGGGGCTTATTTATGGGCAGGGAGGACGGGGAGGGGGCTTATTTGTGGGCAGGGAGAAAGAGGAGGTGGGGCTTATTTATGGGCAGGGAGGAAGGGGAGGGGGGGCTTATTTGTGGGCAGGGAGGACGGGGAGGGGGCTTATTTGTGGGCAGGGAGGAAGGGGAGGGGGGCTTAATTATGGGCAAAGAGGAAGAGGAGGGGGACTTATTTATGGGCAGGGAGAAAGAGGAGGTGGGGCTTATTTATGGGCAAGGAGGAAGGGGAGGGGGGCTTATTTGTGGGCAGGGAGGAAGGGGAGGGGGGCTCATTTATGGGCAGGGAGGAAGAAGTGGGGGGCTAAATTGTGGACAAGAAGGAAGAGGAGAGGGTGTTTTTGCAGTTAGATAAGGTTAGTCTCCATGTGTCATTATCTGTCCTTATAAACCCTGCTCCAACATACTCCATGCTTTATCCCGTTCTCTTTGCTCCTTTCCTATTATTCCTCCCAGAATAATCCTCCCATTTTAATGTTCTCTTTTCACTGCTAAGAATATATATCTTTCCCTTTTCTATCGTTGTGTCCTCGGGGAAATCCCCTCTTTATCATGCCAATCTCTTTCTGTGTATCTTTGGTTTCGTTATTTTAGCTTACTATCTTTCTGTTAAGAATGTATTGATAAATTTTACCAGAACATTATGCATGGAGTGTCATGGTAATGACATTATCATATTGTTTTTGTAATCATGAGAATCTTACATTACATGTATGTACACTATATATAAAACATTATTTATATAAAGATTAATTTTATCAAAAGGAATATGTAGATTTTCTGATATTTAAAGTTCCATTTTAAGCTTAAATTTCAATAGTTAGCATTTCTGTTAAACAGTGGAGGACAGAAAAGGCGTGTGTCATTTGCAGTCGCACTTTTACATGAGCCAGAACTTCTGATTCTAGATGAACCAACAGTGGGTGTGGATCCTCTTCTAAGAGAAAGGTAATTATAGAGACAGGCAAAGCACTATTGATACAAGAAATACACTACACAGTTATCTGTTTAAAAGGCTTTCACAGATATTATATTACTTTTTACATTAGAAGTTGTTCTCATGATATCTGTAACAGTTAACAGGTGTTCTCACAACAACATTTATTATGGTAATTGTTCTCATAGACACTGTATTTGTAGTATGAACCTATTAATGTTGTCTTAAACTGTAACCATTGATCTGTTCTTACATAGACTGCTGCAAGTTTCTGTCATGGAGGAGGGGCAAATACTGTAAAAATTGTCATAAAGTCTACCTGTGTATAAAGGTCACTTTTTGATTCCTTGTGTAATGCAATTCATAGTAATTGAACCTCTATACAAAGGCCACCTCTGTTTAAATGTTACAATTTTGGTTCCCTGTGTAATGCAATTCAAATGTTACTGTGTATAAAGACTGCTGTTTTGGTTTCCTCTGTAACGAAATTCATTGTAATTGAACCTCTACATTAAGGCCACCTGTGTATAAAGACTGCTGTTTTGGTTTCCTCTGTAATGCAATTCATTGTAAGTGGACCTCTACATTAAGGCCACCTGTGTACAAAGGTCACTTTTCTATGGAGTGGCCTCATTAGACAGGCTTGTCTGTATGTTCCCACAGTGTCACAAAGTCTTATGAAAAATAACATATTCTTAACTGATTCTATTTACTTTATTAGGATTTGGGAACATTTGGTAAAAATAGCTGGACACGATGGCTTAAAGACAACAATAATCATCACCACCCATTACATAGAGGAGGCAAGACAGGCCAACACGGTATGTGCTGGTTTAGTTCATTGTTTGTTTAACATCCTATTAACAGCCAGGGGTATATGTACCAGTATACAATATAAAGGTTTTAACTGTGAACTAGAAATGTTGTTTAGTGATGTTAGATCCTGTGTAGATGGCTCAAGATTTATGTAAAATGGTGCTTATTGCCTGTGTATATTTAAGTGACATAGAAGATTGAGAATCAACGTCTTGATTCCTTGTTTGAGCTTGATAGGGCTCTATTGAAAACTGTTGGGGGTCTATCTTTGATTTCTGATCCAACTTACTGAAGACAATTGGAATGTTGGTTCTCTCTCACTCAGTTAGGAGTCTTATTTTTACTGTGTGAATTTAAATCTGTACAGCCATTTGTAAATACCAATTAAGATTTAATTATGAATAAGATCTCTGATCTAGAGTTATCCTTTCATGCGAGATTTTGTTTCCATTTTAGGTAGGATTGATGAGAGGAGGTCGTTTGTTGGCAGAGGAGGAACCAAACACTTTGATACAAAATCATCACATTGATGTAAGGAAACCTAGGTGCTGATATCCTTTCAGCCAGCAAACTGTTCAGAAAAAGTGCATTTTGTGTTGTTTCAATCAGTTAATTAAACGATCCAGTAAGAAGTTTGATCCTATCCTTAGATGGTGTACTATCATCTTCTGACATTGCTAGTCTGTTCTATCGTCCATTCTTACATATTTGTTGTTACATTGTATCTTTGTTTCTTGAGGGGTGCTGGAAGGATCATTTCTAGATTTCATATGTAGGTTTTCCTTGATCCCTAGCTAATTATGCATGTTTATTTCTTTTTTCTTGATTTGTATACTAAAATAAAATGGCTGACAGGAGACCATCTTGGATTTTTAGAATTAAAATTTGCTATCACAAGTACCAGATCAAACTCAGAATTCCTCCAAATTTACATTACAATACTTGTTTTTGCAGTTCAAGTCATAAATAATTGTGAACCTTTCACAGAGTTTGACAAACTGATGAATTTGGCTATGAAGTATTTTGTCTTGAGCTTTTACTTGTATGAATATATTTAAGCAGTCTAACGTTTATTTTAATTGTGAGGGAGACACACTTATCACATATGCTCTGAAGTTATATTGTTCTGATGTTGTTTGCTATTTACAAAAAAAGGGTAAACAATTTTGTTTACGTTAGGAACTGATCCTCGAAAAATACGTAGCAACTTTGACAGAAAAAAATTAGACAGATTCCAAAAATCAGACTAAATTTGATTATGGATAGGTCTTAAATGATGGGAAATTCTTCTACCATTGTTAGAAGCTATAAACACTAACTATAAGTATTTCTGAATTTAGCGTGGTACTTGTCCTGATTAGATTGTGTTCATAAACAAGAGACTTTGTAGCCTAAACAGAATTTAGTGGTCATCATCCTCCGCCACCTTGAAAAAGATCCCTCCTTACTGGGTACAGAGCCATGAATTCTTTTTAATATTTTTATACCATGGACTTATGGCATCCTGTTTTCTCCTCTTGCAGAGTCTGGAAGCTGTTTTCCTGAAACTTTGCCAAAATGACAATATGGATGAAAGTGATGATGTTAGAAAGGTGAGACTTTTTAACTTTTTTTTTTAACTTTGTCCTTAATAGTTTCTTATGACATCAAGAACAAAGCTGACTTTTAGCATACAGGTAAATGTCAAAAAGTCAAGTGAGTTCATGTCTGGTTGTAATGTCCGACAGTCCTGTGTGAACTTCTCGTAGCCCCTCAATCATGATATAAAGGGCTTGCAAGGTCACAGGGGTCAACATTTTTTTAAAATCTTCAAACAATTTCTTCGTAATTATCATAAAATCCCCGAGTCACAAAACTTGTATATGGCAAATGGCATATTTGGGAAGGCTTCATATTTTGTTTAATGGTTAGAACTGCATCCACTTTCAAGGTCACTGGAGTCCAGTAATTTGAAATCTTCAAATTAATCCTTCTTTCTTACCCAAAGTCTCAAATAACTATGTGACAACAAGCATGCTTGGATAACGGTGTTTCATCTTCAGGACAAAAGAATATTTTTGTCCTTCTTTCATGGTTTATGTAGCAGGAAACAGTTAATTTGCATTTTTCCTAAAATCATTGATTATGTTTGTGATTTACAGATATTGCAGTTTGGTTATAAAAATATATCCTTACATCTATATATATATATATATTTGTAAACTACATAACATTTACATTGTAGTAGAGAAATAGAAATTGTGTAAATAAACAATTTCCTTTGATTTCTGACATGTTATTGCCATGGTTACCAACTCAAAAATTCAAAAATACTGCAAATTCCAACTAACACTACAATCTTATAAGAAAATAATTTCTGAACAAATGTCTTAAAATTAACAACAATGCCATGGTAACAAATTACTTACATTTCAGCAAATTCCAACTTAGAAATCCTTCAGAACATGACCACATGCAAACACTTTGAAAATTTCACTTCCTGTAAAGCTGGTTTTTGGTGTGAAGACACAGATTCGAGACTGTCCAAACAGTTACCTCCAATAGATTGCATAGACATTGTTCTGAAGCATATGATACCTCACATTATCCACTTCATCATGACATGACCAATTTTAGCAAAGATTTATTTTTGAAATTTTTATTAAAACCTTTATAATGTGGTAATCTAATGAGCAAAAGTATTATCCAAGGTCACACGGACAAACTCATGTACTGCTTCCTTAGGGAGTCATATGTGTTTAAAATCTTTATCTCAGTGATGAAATCCTGGCAGTCATGAATGTTAACAAGTTGCTTGCTGGAATGAATTTCTTCTTTTTCACATTGGTTCAAATACCTGTCTTTCATATATGTAATCATGTTGTTTTTGTATATAGGTTCATGTGATGCAGACAGGATCTACCGGGGTAGGGGAGAGAACTCCACTTCTGGCTAACAATGCTAACAGCGTGGCATTCAGCGAAGACATTCATATAGATCATATATGTATGCATATCAATTTTTTGTTATAATCCAATCAGATTTGTGGGAATAGTGGAGTTAAATTCAAATCAGCCATTAGTTTTTTTCCACTTTTTGTTAAAGAAAGATGGCAAGTGTGCCTTGTGTTTGAGCGGTATTTCTGCTGATGTTTGACTTCACAGATTACAGTTATAATTCACAGCTCATTTCCCGATTGGTTTTGCTAAATGTTGGAAATGTTTTAATTTTAGTGTTTTAAATAAAGAAATATCACATTAAACTCAAACGCAGAATTGATGTATAATTTGAATTTGTTCTCGTTTTAAAATGACCAACCTCTGAAAGTGAAATTTTTGAATGTTGAAGTTCTTTTTTAACAGTAAGAGACTTTGTATATACTTTAAAACAGACAAAGATGTGGAGCCACATTCAGCCAGAAGGTGTAACTGTGGCCTTCCTAGTGGCAAAAACATTGTCGCTCAGTTTCTGAAAAACTTAACATTGATGAAGCGGAATATTGGGTGAGTTCACGTAGAAAGAAATTCATCAATAATTGTCAATATTTTGTTAACCATTAGGATAATAAAATGAGTCTTTGTTGTATACCTCAATTTTACACAGGGTTTCATCTGTTTGAGTTTATACCAAAATGAGTCTTTGTTGTATACCTCAATTTTACACAGGGTTTCATCTGTTTGAGTTTATACCAAAATGAGTCTTTGTTGTATACCTCAATTTTACACAGGGTTTCATCTGTTTGAGTTGATTATCTTTGTTGTATACCCAATTTTAAAATGATTCTTTGTTGTATACCTCAATTTTACACAGGGTTTCATCTGTTTGAGTTTATACCAAAATGAGTCTTTGTTGTATACCTCAATTTTACACAGGGTTTCATCTGTGTGAGTTTATACCAAAATGAGTCTTTGTTGTATACCTCAATTTTACACAGGGTTTCATCTGTTTGAGTTTATACCAAAATGAGTCTTTGTTGTAAACTTTGTTTTAACTCTAGGTTCCGTCTGTTTGAGGTTATACTAAAATGAGTCTTTGTTGTAAACTTTGTTTTAACTCTATGTCCCGTCTGTTTGAGGTTATACTAAAATGAATCTTTGTTTTTGCTCTAGGTTCTGTCTGTTTGAGTTGATACTAAAATGAGTCAGCTGTAAACTTTGTTTTAATTCTAGGTTCCTTCTGTTTGAGTTTATATTACCATCAATACAGATTGTCCTGTTCTGTTTGTGTATCGGAGGAGACCCGTATAATCTGAAGGTGGCCATTTTTAATAATGAGACATCGGCACTAGGATTCAGCCATCTTTTTATCCAGTCTCTCGACAACAACACTATAGATAAGGTATGATATCTGATATAGACGTAAGAGAAGGAGAAAGGTAAATTCACCCTATTATCACAACTGATTAAATAAAGTAAAAAGGAAGAAAATGTGATGTCATTGTAACATTGAATATTGCCATGCCAACAATGCATAGCATTTATGTATTGAAAACATATGGTGAATAATAGGTTGTTTTTTATTTAAAATTTGTGTAATTCTGTAACACAATTTATCATTGTGGTTGTTTTTTATCAATTATGTGGGTACACTGAATCATTGTGTTCATATGTCCATGAACTGTCATTACTAGTATAAGTACATTTTTATAGATTTATTCAAGAAATTGAATATCTATGAAATAGTGGCTTTATTTTTAAATATTACGAATTAAGTCCCACAAATATATATGACTTAACAACACTTTGAATTTCTTAAACCTATTGTGTTAAAATAGTGTGTCTGATGACCAATTTTTAGTCTTATTTTTGCTCTTTCTCCTTATGCCAATTTACATGTCTTTTAGTGTTTTTCCATTTTTTCTTGAGGCAACAAGCATCCTCTCTTTGCCTTTAATTTAAACCATGTCTTTAAGTCCCCTGGCAATGGCTTTCAAAATCGGAGAGAACATTTGTAATGCTTTTGATATCTTAGGGAAAAATATTCTCATATGAAACTCCATTTATTCAAAATAATAATTAATTTTTTTGTAATTTGAAAGAAGTCTTACATTTGTTTGTGAAATGTAATCAAATATTTATAGGTGATGTTCAGTGATATAGAATCAGCTCGGGATTGTGTGAAAGACGGTAAAGCCTGGGGCCTGATGACTATAGGAGAAAACTTTACAGTAGATCTGATTACACGGTAAGGATAAAAGCCCCAGGGAATAATATATTCTTATATACTTCAGTATATATCCAGTGGTTGCTAGGGATGGGATAACTCTGGGTAGAAAAATACTTTTGGTTTCGTTCTCGACACTTGTCCTGGTGTGGTTGTTAAAAGGACAAAAATCTATGTAAACACAAAACAAAGCAAACTAATTTCCACTTCATATTAAAGATCAATGCATTGAAATCCATTTCTAACATATTACTATACTCGGATAGAGAAACTCTCAAACTGATACATTTTTCATATACTTTTTACTTCTTCTTTTTCATCACATAAGCTGCCTATTATCCAGGGATTATATCACTAGTGTATATATACCCAGGGGCAGTTTTCATTGACTGCACCAGTCAGAAATTGATTGTGGTGTCATTGGGACGACGACATTCAAGCAGCATGAATTGAAACTGGTGCAACAAAGTCGAGCCTTTCTTTGATTTTGCACTGCACCATTTCATGTCAAAAGCTATTAAAGTATAAGTCATAAAAAGTATCTTAACTGTGATTTCCTGATAAGTTTAAAGTTTTGTTCGCCAAATCTCACAAACATGAAATTTCATATGAAATGGATACTCATTTAAGATTTATATGCTGTTGTTTGTGGTTATATTAATGTCTTCACTTACAGTTTCAGCAACGGTTCTGCTATAAATAACAGTACCCTGGAAGGCAGTACAATCAAACTCTACCTAGATATGACAAGTGAGTTTAAATTTCCTCTGCATATTCCTCATTTCAGAATTCCTTTAAAAAATGATTATTTATAAATGCTATCATGTAGTATTCCTTGCTTAAGTCAGATCTGAAACTTTATCCCAAATTTAGTTGTTACAAACATTATACAACATACTTTTTCTGTGGAAAATGCACAGTTAAAGTTGGATGTTGAACATATCAAATTTTAACACTTATGTGATCTTCTTTTTTTTTCTCGTTTTTTTTTTTTTACACAAATGAAAATTGCCTTAATATCAGACTGAGTGTCAGAATGAGTAGATTAATATTTATATAGTTTTATCTAGTATATATATGTACATTTTCTTTCTCTCTAAATAAATAAAATACGATATACTTATTTCCAACTTTTGATTTTTGTGTCTGCTTTGCTATAATATATATATATATGACCGTATATACATGAAACATACTACCTGGTATTTAAATTAGCTTTACCTAATACTAAAAAACTCTTAATGAACTGAATGAAAAGTTGGCCTGTTTTTTAAAATTGAAAAGAAGAAAGTTTCGCCCAAGTATGAATCATGTATTGATAATCTGAGGGTGGCTTTATTTTGTTTATTTGTTTCTTATGTAAAAACAAAAAAACAAAATGAGAAATAAAAAATAGAAATGGTAAAAAAATAATAAAGATGATTGATTTAATGACATGTCTTCAAATAAGATTTTATACAAATAATACTTTATTTATTACACAGTAAGACTGATTCCAAACATGGATGGCTGGTTATAGATATCAATATTGGTGTTAAAGGTATAAATGCAGTTTTACTATGAAAGAGTGATCAGTATATTACCACATGTATCGTCAGATAAGTACAGTTCTAGTGTAATGACGTGTACATATACAGAAGATTGTGATCCTGTCCTTCTGTTTTGTATTTTAGATCAACAGATAGCTGTGATGCTACAGGAAAAAGTCACCCTTGCCTTTGAAAATTTTTCCAGGTTATTATTGTCTATGATAGGTCAGAATCCAGACCTTGCACAGCTACCAGTCAAGGTAATAAAAAAATGTTAAAATACCAAAAAACTAAGGAAACTCTTAATATAAAGATGGACGCTTTTATCTAGTGAACAGTCAGTCATGAAAAATAAAAAACAATACTTTCAATGTGAAGTGGATTTTTAATGTAGGCTGAAAATATGTAAGATTATGCACCTCAGGAGCTGGAATTGACATTCAGTTGTTTCCCTTTGCCTGTCTATTTTTAGAGTTAAATTATTTTTACTCTACTTTCAGTTGGAAGAGCCAATATATGGCACACTAGATCCCAGCTTCACAAACTTTATGGCACCAGGAATCATTCTCAGGTAAATCATGTACCTACCTCAGAAAGAACTGTCAATCTTTACTGTGTTATATCATCCTGAAAAAGCTGTCAATCTTTACCCTGTTATATCATCCTGAGTAAACTGTCAATCTTTACTGTGTTATATCATCCTGAGTAAACTGTCAATCTTTACTGTGTTATATCATCCTGAGAAAACTGTCAATCTTTACTGTGTTATATCATCCTGAAAAAGCTGTCAATCTTTACCCTGTTATATCATCCTGAGAAAACTGTCAATCTTTACTGTGTTATATCATCCTGAGAAAACTGTCAATCTTTACTGTGTTATATCATCCTGAGAAAACTGTCAATCTTTACCCTGTTATATCATCCTGAGAAAACTGTCAATCTTTACTGTGTTATATCATCCTGAGAAAACTGTCAATCTTTACCCTGTTATATCATCCTGAGAAAACTGTCAATCTTTACTGTGTTATATCAAGAAAACTGTCAATCTTTACTGTGTTATATCATCCTGAGAAAACTGTCAATCTTTACTGTGTTATATCATCCTGAGAAAACTGTCAATCTTTACCCTGTTATATCATCCTGAGAAAACTGTCAATCTTTACTGTGTTATATCATCCTGAGAAAACTGTTAATCTTTACCCTGTTATATCATCCTGAGAAAACTGTCAATCTTTACTGTGTTATATCATCCTGAGAAAACTGTCAATCTTTACCCTGTTATATCATCCTGAGAAAACTGTCAATCTTTACCCTGTTATATCATCCTGAGAAAACTGTCAATCTTTACTGTGTTATATCATCCTGAGAAAACTGTCAATCTTTACTGTGTTATATCATCCTGAGAAAACTGTCAATCTTTACTGTGTTATATCATCCTGAGAAAACTGTCAATCTTTACTGTGTTATATCATCCTGAGAAAACTGTCAATCTTTACTGTGTTATATCATCCTGAGAAAACTGTCAATCTTTACTGTGTTATATCATCCTGAGAAAACTGTCAATCTTTACCCTGTTATATCATCCTGAGAAAACTGTCAATCTTTACTGTGTTATATCATCCTGAGAAAACTGTCAATCTTTACTGTGTTATATCATCCTGAGAAAACTGTCAATCTTTACCCTGTTATATCATCCTGAGAAAACTGTCAATCTTTACTGTGTTATATCATCCTGAGAAAACTGTCAATCTTTACCCTGTTATATCATCCTGAGAAAACTGTCAATCTTTACTGTGTTATATCATCCTGAGAAAACTGTCAATCTTTACTGTGTTATATCATCCTGAGAAAACTGTCAATCTTTACTGTGTTATATCATCCTGAGAAAACTGTCAATCTTTACTGTGTTATATCATCCTGAGAAAACTGTCAATCTTTACTGTGTTATATCATCCTGAGAAAACTGTCAATCTTTACTGTGTTATATCATCCTGAGAAAACTGTCAATCTTTACTGTGTTATATCATCCTGAGAAAACTGTCAATCTTTACTGTGTTATATCATCCTGAGAAAACTGTCAATCTTTACTGTGTTATATCATCCTGAGAAAACTGTCAATCTTTACTGTGTTATATCATCCTGAGAAAACTGTCAATCTTTACTGAGAAAACTGTGTTATATCATCCTGAGAAAACTGTCAATCTTTACCCTGTTATATCATCTCTTTACTGTGTTTATCAAGAAAACTGTCAATCTTTACTGTGTTATATCAACTGTCAATCTTTACTGTGTTATATCATCCTGAGAAATCTTTACTGTCATATCTGAGAAAACTGTCAATACTGTGTTATATCATCCTGAGAAAACTGTCAATCTTTACTGTGTTATATCATCCTGAGAAAACTGTCAATCTTTACTGTGTTATATCATCCTGAGAAAACTGTCAATCTTTACTGTGTTATATCATCCTGAGAAAACTGTCAATCTTTACTGTGTTATATCATCCTGAGAAAACTGTCAATCTTTACTGTGTTATATCATCCTGAGAAAACTGTCAATCTTTACTGTGTTATATCATCCTGAGAAAACTGTCAATCTTTACTGTGTTATATCATCCTGAGAAAACTGTCAATCTTTACTGTGTTATATCATCCTGAGAAAACTGTCAATCTTTACTGTGTTATATCATCCTGAGAAAACTGTCAATCTTTACTGTGTTATATCATCCTGAGAAAACTGTCAATCTTTACCCTGTTATATCATCCTGAGAAAACTGTCAATCTTTACTGTGTTATATCATCCTGAGAAAACTGTCAATCTTTACTGTGTTATATCATCCTGAGAAAACTGTCAATCTTTACTGTGTTATATCATCCTGAGAAAACTGTCAATCTTTACTGTGTTATATCATCCTGAGAAAACTGTCAATCTTTACTGTGTTATATCATCCTGAGAAAACTGTCAATCTTTACTGTGTTATATCATCCTGAGAAAACTGTCAATCTTTACTGTGTTATATCATCCTGAGAAAACTGTCAATCTTTACTGTGTTATATCATCCTGAGAAAACTGTCAATCTTTACTGTGTTATATCATCCTGAGAAAACTGTCAATCTTTACTGTGTTATATCATCCTGAGAAAACTGTCAATCTTTACTGTGTTATATCATCCTGAGAAAACTGTCAATCTTTACTGTGTTATATCATCCTGAGAAAACTGTCAATCTTTACTGTGTTATATCATCCTGAGAAAACTGTCAATCTTTACTGTGTTATATCATCCTGAGAAAACTGTCAATCTTTACTGTGTTATATCATCCTGAGAAAACTGTCAATCTTTACTGTGTTGTATCATCCTGAGAAAACTGTCAATCTTTACTGTGTTATATCATCCTGAGAAAACTGTCAATCTTTACTGTGTTATATCATCCTGAGAAAACTGTCAATCTTTACTGTGTTATATCATCCTGAGAAAACTGTCAATCTTTACTGTGTTATATCATCCTGAGAAAACTGTCAATCTTTACTGTGTTATATCATCCTGAGAAAACTGTCAATCTTTACTGTGTTATATCATCCTGAGAAAACTGTCAATCTTTACTGTGTTATATCATCCTGAGAAAACTGTCAATCTTTACTGTGTTATATCATCCTGAGAAAACTGTCAATCTTTACTGTGTTATATCATCCTGAGAAAACTGTCAATCTTTACTGTGTTATATCATCCTGAGAAAACTGTCAATCTTTACTGTGTTATATCATCCTGAGAAAACTGTCAATCTTTACTGTGTTATATCATCCTGAGAAAACTGTCAATCTTTACTGTGTTATATCATCCTGAGAAAACTGTCAATCTTTACTGTGTTATATCATCCTGAGAAAACTGTCAATCTTTACTGTGTTATATCATCCTGAGAAAACTGTCAATCTTTACTGTGTTATATCATCCTGAGAAAACTGTCAATCTTTACTGTGTTATATCATCCTGAGAAAACTGTCAATCTTTACTGTGTTATATCATCCTGAGAAAACTGTCAATCTTTACTGTGTTATATCATCCTGAGAAAACTGTCAATCTTTACCCTGTTATATCATCCTGAGAAAACTGTCAATCTTTACTGTGTTATATCATCCTGAGAAAACTGTCAATCTTTACTGTGTTATATCATCCTGAGAAAACTGTCAATCTTTACTGTGTTATATCATCCTGAGAAATCTGTCAATCTTTACTGTGTTATATCATCCTGAGAAAACTGTCAATCTTTACTGTGTTATATCATCCTGAGAAAACTGTCAATCTTTACTGTGTTATATCATCCTGAGAAAACTGTCAATCTTTACTGTGTTATATCATCCTGAGAAAACTGTCAATCTTTACTGTGTTATATCATCCTGAGAAAACTGTCAATCTTTACCCAGTTTTCACATCATGAGAAAACTGTCAATCTTTACTGTCTTATATCATCCTTAGAAAACTGTCAATCTTTACTGTGTTATATCATCCTGAGAAAACTGTCAATCTTTACTGTGTTATATCATCCTGAGAAAACTGTCAATCTTTACTGTGTTATATCATCCTGAGAAAACTGTCAATCTTTACTGTGTTTTATCATCCTGAGAAAACTGTCAATCTTTACTGTGTTATATCATCCTGAGAAAACTGTCAATCTTTACTGTGTTATATCATCCTGAGAAAACTGTCAATCTTTACTGTGTTATATCATCCTGAGAAAACTGTCAATCTTTACTGTGTTATATTATATCATCCTGAGAAAACTGTCAATCTTTACCCTGTTATATCATCCTGAGAAAACTGTCAATCTTTACTGTGTTATATCATCCTGAGAAAACTGTCAATCTTTACTGTGTTATATCATCCTGAGAAAACTGTCAATCTTTACTGTGTTATATCATCCTGAGAAAACTGTCAATCTTTACTGTGTTATATCATCCTGAGAAAACTGTCAATCTTTACTGTGTTATATCATCCTGAGAAAACTGTCAATCTTTACTGTGTTATATCATCCTGAGAAAACTGTCAATCTTTACTGTGTTATATCATCCTGAGAAAACTGTCAATCTTTACTGTGTTATATCATCCTGAGAAAACTGTCAATCTTTACTGTGTTATATCATCCTGAGAAAACTGTCAATCTTTACTGTGTTATATCATCCTGAGAAAACTGTCAATCTTTACTGTGTTATATCATCCTGAGAAAACTGTCAATCTTTACTGTGTTATATCATCCTGAGAAAACTGTCAATCTTTACTGTGTTATATATGAGAAAACTGTCAATCTTTACTGTGTTATATCATCCTGAGAAAACTGTCAATCTTTACTGTGTTATATCATCCTGAGAAAACTGTCAATCTTTACTGTGTTATATCATCCTGAGAAAACTGTCAATCTTTACTGTGTTATATCATCCTGAGAAAACTGTCAATCTTTACTGTGTTATATCATCCTGAGAAAACTGTCAATCTTTACTGTGTTATATCATCCTGAGAAAACTGTCAATCTTTACTGTGTTATATCATCCTGAGAAAACTGTCAATCTTTACCCTGTTAT